TCAATTAGGAAAGCTACAATCAAATTCACATCTCACAGCTGAGCTCAGCAGGGAATGCCAAAAAGAGACAAGACAAGCTTGTTATAATTCATTGTGTTGTCTGAATTTTAGTAAGAAAGAGTGAACAGACACCAGTGAAAAACTTCTATGCTGCTTGCCCAAGACACTGGATTGGATTTGGACATAAGTGTTTTTATTTTTCTGAATCCACAAGTAACTGGACATTCAGCCAGACCTCCTGCATGGCACAAGAGGCCCAACTAGCTCGATTTGACAACCGGGAGGAGCTGGTAATGATCAGGGATTGGGTTGTTTCTTTGTCCTCTTGAATATGTATTACCTGGAGATAGGGAGGGTAAAGATGAAGCATGAGGAAGTTTCCCACCTCAAGCAGGTGGAGACACGGGGAACATGTGAGTGTGTGCCATTTGTGAGGGTCATGCACATCTACATGAAGCTCTGAGACACTGAAGAAACATTACCACATGTCGTGCTCAGTCAGTCTGAAAGGTGCCATTTTACCCAGATACCTAATGGTCATGAGCATTTTTCTCCAAGCTGGCACATGTTGTATACTGAAGGTGACAACTCTTAAGAACAGCAAGGGGTGGTTTAGCCAGGGACTATGCCAGCCAAGCGATGTGTCATTAAATTTGGTATTTTAATCCAAATGAGGTACTTTAGAATTACAGATGTCAACTGGGTCCACTGAGAGCTGGAGGCTGTTACACCTCAAAACTCTGTGACCCTCAGTTACATCCTCCTGACATCTCTAGAGGAAGCTGTGGAGTGGAGAGCCTCAAGGATCATCTGAAACAGAGAGACACAAGTATTTGCTTTCTGTGTTTCATGACAGGGTTTCCTAAGTAGATACAAGGGGACTTTTGACTACTGGATTGGCCTGCACAGAGAGTCACCACAACTCCCTTGGAGATGGACAGACAACACTGAGTATAACAGCACGTATGTTTGCAGATGCTTTTCCTTCTACTGTGTTCATGTGCTGTGATCACGTGTGAGTTGTGGCTCTGAGAGAAGAATGGCTGCTTAATGTGAGGCCAGCTGTACTGGAGAGGAAGAATAAAAAACTCTTGGGTTGGAGGTGTGCCTGGGAGGGAGGGTGTGTGCTACATGCAGGAGTCAATCCCCAGTAAACTCCACATCCCACAAACTTAAATCCTTTGGAGGTTCTCCCATGTATTATTGGCCATTCCAAAACCTTTACTTAGTGTGATTTTACTCAAATGATGATGGCACCTGGGGGAGGTATTGTCTGCTCCTTTACCAACTTAAAACTTTTTGTTGATAAATGCCCTGTGTGGGATGTAGGCAGAACCTCAAATGGGCAGTGAGGGCTCTGAAACCGTAGAAAGCCACTGCAGAACTGCTAGCCAAGACTCATCAGTTCTTGCACAGCCATACCTGTTCACAAAAGCAGAGACTCCAAGGGCACTGGAAAACCACCCCTAAAGTCTTGTTATCTGTCGGCATCCAATATATTTCTTGGATTTGAACACAGCTGTTTTTCTAGAATGGTAAATCACAGCCCAGTCAAGTCTATCATTAAAGCCTTTTCAGCAATTTAATAAATGGGTTTTCAGCTACATAAAATGCTTCAAAACAGAACTGAAAATCCCTGTCTGTGAGGCCACCATGCCTGAACTTCATTTGAACATTTCAGCAAGCCCCAGTCGACTGTTTTGTACACAGATTACACATCACATACAAATGACAGAGATGTGGTGTTCATAAATAACTCTGGAAGTGTTAAAGCTGCTAGGTGCAAAACTGGCACAGGACTGTCTTTCTTTGACTACATTCATGTTACAAATAAGCAGTGGACATGGGTGAGATTTTGTTGCAGGAGTGAATGCAGTTCTGGGCTCTGCAGACTGACTGCTTTTGGTTTCTTTTCAGAGTTCCCATCCGGGGAGTGGAAAATCATGCCTACCTGAATAACAACGGGATCAGCAGTGCCAGGGTCTATGCAGATCGAAGATGGATCTGTAGCAAACCCAACAGCTATATGCTCCATTGCCAAAATGCTTTTTCTCCTTTTTTAGCCTTTGCAAAGAGATGCTTTTAGCCTGTTATCTACAGTTGCTACTCTTTCCCACATCTTTCCACATCACTATTAAAGGAACGAAGAATATTTCTTGACATCCCAAATGAAAACCATCTTGAAGAAGTGTACATACAGGGGATAAGAAGAACATAGAAGAACATATGAGTCTAACTTAGATGTCGGCACTCAGACCTTAAGCGTAAAGTACAATTAACGTTAGTGAACCCCACTTTCATTTTGTGCAGAGAAGTCCTTCTTTTGAGTCTATGAGACCACAAAAATGAGTTCCCAAAAGTGTGTGTGGTTATATAGTGACACATACCTGTGATGCCAGCTACTTAAGGGTTGAAACAGGAGAATCACAGGTTCACAGTAAGAAGTGAAGTATGGGAATGCTTTAATAATGACAGGGAAGAGAAGAATCTGTAGCATCTGATAATTTGGCAAAACACATTATACATTCTTTTCAAAATTTATGCCAACACCCAGAATTTAAAAAGTATTTAAAACTAAAATTCATTTTATAGTCTTTAAAACATAAGTAACACTGTCAAAATCTCTCTCTAGGTTTTAATATCCTTATTTCCAGTTTTACATTTCTAAATATAATTATATAATTATACTGTTCAAGTATAATCCATTTTATAAACAAACACCATTTTAATTTTACCACTTTATTGGATTCATTTCACATCAAATGGTAGTTAAACTCCTTAAGCATTCAATACTTCGTTTTGCACTAATGTGCATATTATTGGGTCCTAAAAACAAAGTATTTAAAATCTTTATAGAGTTAACTACACTGTACTGATGAGTCCCAAAAAGGATGAAATAACAGGCTACAAAGCATCTCCTGATCTTTTCATCTTTTTCTCTCTCTTTTGTTCTATAACAGCTTGATTTGCTGGGGAATTGTGGGGGTATGATATCTATACTTGGCCTCCTGGTCTTTGAGAAAAAAGGGATGAGAGGGGCAAGGGGAGAGAAGGGGAGAGGGAGGATGGAAGTGGGAGAGTGGGACTGGGAGAGTGGGACTGGGAGGAGAGGAGGAGGGGAAGCTGTGATTGACATATAAAGTAAGTAAACAAAACAAAAAAGACTATGTTTTTATCTACTTGATGTGTGTTTATTGTTTGTATAAGTGTGTGTGTGTGTGTGTGTGTGTGTGTGTGTATGCAACCAGAGTTATAGACTGATGTGTGTGGCCATGTGGCTTCTGGAAATGGAACCTTGGTCTTTTGCAAGAAAAACTCCTAACTACTGAGCCATCTCTCTAGCCTTTTCTTCCTCTGTTTTCTTTGATTGGTATAGCTGAGCAAGCCTTGGAAAAACAGCATGTATCCATTTCCCTGAAAATTTCATGACTACCTTGTTTTTAATAGTGGAGTAGTATTCAATTGTGTAAATGTGCCTCAATTTCTATATCCATTCCTTTGTTGAGGGGCATCTGGGTTGTTTCCAGATTCTGGCTATTACAAATAAAGGTGTTATGAACATAGCTGAGCAAATGTCCTTGTTGAATGGTGGAGTATCTTTTGGGTATATGCCCAGGAGTAGTATAGCTGGATCTTGAGGTAGTGCTATTCCCAATTTTTTGATAAAGCGCCAGATTGATTTTCAAAGTGTGGTTGTACAAGTTTGCACTCGCACCAGCAATGGAGGAGGGTTCCCCTTTCTCCACATCCTCTCCAGCATGTGTTGTCACTTGAGTTTTTGATCTTAGCCATTCTGATGTTATTTTGATTTGCATTTCTCTGATGACTAAGGATGTTGGCATTTCTTCAAGTGTTTCTCTGTCATTCAATTTTTCTCTATTGAGAATTCTGTGCTTAGCTCTGTACCCCATTTTTAAATTGAATTATTTGGCTTGTTGGTGTTTAATTTCTTGAGTTCTTTATATACTATGTTGCTTTATTACTACAACTTTGTAATATAACACAATCTAGAATGGTGAAATCTCTAGCAATTTTTTTGTTGATTGGGATTCTTTTGCTATCCTCGATATTTTGTATTTACATATGAAATTTAATATTATTTTTTCAGTTTCTATAAAGAACCACATTGGAGTAGGTATAAGGAGTGGAAATCCTTGTCTTGTTCCTGAGGTTAGTGGAAATGCCTTTGAGTTTTTCTCCGTTTAGGATAATACTGGCTGTGGGCTTCCCAGTCATTGCCTTTATTATGCTGAGATAATGTCCTTTGTGCCCATACTTTCTCCAGGACCTTCATCATGAATGGATGTTGAATTTTGTTCAAGGTTTTTCCCACATTTAATGAAATGATTATATAGTTTCTATCTTTTTATCTAATTACATTTATTGATTTATATATGCACCATCCTTGTAAATTTGGAAAGAAGAAAACTTGATCATGGTGCATGAATTTTGATGTGTTCTTGAACTTAGTTTCCAAGTATTTTATTATTTTATTGAGAACTTTTATGTCCATATTTATTGAAGATATTCACCCACAGTTTTCTTTTCTTTCTCTTTCTCCACATTCTCTCCAGCATGTGTTGTCACTTAAATGCTACTTTCAAATACCAATTCTTTGTTTCATTGATTCATTTTATATTTTTCATTTCTATTTTACTGATTTTGGCCACGATTTTGATAATCTCTTCCTATCTACTTTTGGCGGGGTTTTTGATTATTCTTGTTTTTCTAAAGCCCTCAGGTGCATCATTAAGTTATTAGTTTGAGATTTCTCTAAGTTTTATTTAGGCACATAGTGTTGTGAGCTTTCTTTTTATAACTGCCTCATTTCTTTTTCATTTCATTTAATTCTGAGAATTCTTAAACTTCCTTCTTGATTTCTTTCTTCACTCAATTTTTAATCAGTGGTGTGTTATTTAGATTCTATGCGTTTGTGTTCTTTTGTTGTTGATATACAGCTTTAATTCATAGCAGTCAGATCAAATGCAGGATGTAATTTCAGTTTCCTATATTTGCTGACACTTGCTTTGGGTTCTATGATTATAAACACTAGTCCAATTCCTTCTGGCCTTCATAGTCTCCATTAAAAACAAATCTGCTGTTATTATGATGAACCTGCCTTTGTATGTGACTAGATCTTTCTCTCTGTTTTCAATATCCTTGTTTGTTGCTGTTGCTCTGAACACTTAGTGTTTTGATATGATGAGAGGAGTTTCTTCTCTAGTCCGCTCTGTTTGGTGTTCTGTATTCTGTCAGATCTTGGTAGGCAACTCTTACCTCAGATTAAGAAAGTTTCTTCTGTGATTTTGTTGCAAAATATGTTTTTCACCTTTGACCTGGGTCTCTTCTTCTGTGTCTACTTTTTGTAGGTTTAGTCTTTGTAAAGCGTCCTTGTTGTAAGCGGCAATTAAAATTTACTAATGTTTTATCTTCTTGTAACGCTGCTGTTAATCCTCAGCAGCTGTAAAACCAAATCACCACATAGAGACTGGGTTTTTAGTTAATCTAGAACACAATGCTGGGCAATATTTACTCCCTCCTAAACCTCCAAGCCCTCAGTTTCCTAACATTTAGATTTCCCACATTATACTTGCTTTTTGTGAAATCTTAGGTCTGGTTCATGCTCCAAGTCCTCCAAGCTCTCTCCTCCTGCTCTGCTCTCCTAGTGCTCTCCTCTCCTCCAGCTCCTCCTCCTTCTCGCCCCTTCCTGTTCTCTAGCTCCTCCCCTCTTTCCTGTCCTCTGGCTCCTCCCATTGCACAACATTGTATCTAGTTGCTTTATTTGTGTCCTGTTTACACAAGAGTTGAGACAGGATGCTTATAGTGAGTATCACAATGCAATATCCAGATTGAAACCAGAGAGTTGGGGCTGGGGAAATCAGCATTTGAATTAACAAGGATAAGGCATATACATTTTTAAAGAACATTATACCAACACATCCTAGTTTCTGCATGTTTTTGGGATTATTTGGATTAGATATTTTCTTTCACTGAGTGATCTAAGTCCTCTACTTTGTCTCCAAGACATCATATTTTCTCCTTCACATGATCTAATCTATTGGTAATATCGTGTAGAGGGATTTTAGTCAATCAACAGGGCTACTCTGGCTGAAATACAGATGTGCCCTTAGCACACAATTTTAATCTCTCTGGCTGGAATACTGACTTAGTACTCACTTTTAATCCCAACAATGATGGTAAAGTTAGTTTGTAGAACGAAGCACTCATGTTTGAAAGTGATGTCTAATTTAGTGGCAGACAAAGTGACGAATCATAGAAAGATTTGACAGAATAAAATATGCTGATTGCTCACAAGAACAGAGAGGAAAGGGAAGGTACTTGAGGGAGCATCAGAGAAAGAGAGAGAGAGAGATAAAGAGAGAGAGGAGAGTTTTAGTGGGAGGGTTTTGCAGAGAGAGAGGTTGAATAGAGAACAAGCTAGACACAAGTGAAGATGAACAAGCCAGAGAATGAGAAGGAGCCAGAAGATTAGAATATATTGCCAAAATTAGTCTGAGGTCAAACAGAGCAATTCAGTAAGAATCAGACAGAGAAGCAATTTGAACCAATCAGCTTGGAGAGAAGTTTGAGCCATAACAGCTGAATTTAACAAGCCAGTCAAAGTTCAGAAAGGGCTAGAAAGAGCAGTAAGTTACACAGGGTGAAAACATTCTAAGCCTAGATGAGATTGTTTGGAGGCTAGAAACTTCCAGGACTAGGCTTAGGTTAGCAGTAAGACAGAGAGGACAATTACAACAGGTGAATAAAAGTTACTTCCACAATATTGTTTTCTGATTTCTTATTGAATTTCTGAATTTTTTTTTCCTTTGAATCTTATTTCATTCTTGCCTGTCTTCAGCGGTTTTATCAAATTTTATTTTGGTTTCTTGACTTGTTTTTCTAATTTCATTTAACTGTGTCCTTGTAGTGTTCATTCTGGCACGTATTTACATCTTCAGAATTCTATTCATTGCTATTTTGAATACATTGTCTTCTACCATCTGGTTGCTTTTCTTAGGGGGCTTTACTATGGACATACAAATTGTTTGTGGGGACTTAGTATTTGGTTATTCATGTTTGTGGATTTGTAATGGGACCTGAGCTATTGCAATCAGGTGATGAGTACAGTTTACTGGTAATGGGAATCTTGTCTCTACTTGCTGAGCAGGTATTTGAAACTCCCTGTTAGCTATTTCAATTTATCATGTGGTAGGCAAGCTATGTGGAACTTAGAGCGTAGTCCTTGGGCAATTCAGTACTGATGTTTGAATTGAGTGTCAGAAGTAATCCTGGTTTGGCTCAAGTTAAGTTAGGATTCTCAGCCCAGGAGCTGACCTTCTGTAGTGTGAGAAGATTTTCAGTCAGTCATCAGGGGTTTGAGGGAGATTCTCAGAACTTTGCCTCAGGCAAAGCTGCTGATGAAAGTCTTGGGTCTTTAACTCTGGGATTTTTAACTCAAGAGGAGAGTTAGGGTGCTAATGGCAAAAGATAGGTGTGAGACATGTGGTCCTCATGCCAGTTGCAGGGGTAGGTGGAGTATTTGGTGTGAGTCTAGTATCCTCAACCTGGTAAAGGGAGGTCATGGAGGTGGGTAGAGTTGGCAGGGTGAGTTCAGTGTTTGTCCAGAAAAGATATATGTGCAGTGTGGGTTTATATTCCCTATCTGGAGATATTCAAGTGCACTCAGCCAGGGCCGATAAGGGTAGTGTTGAGAGTTGGGCATCTTTACCTGAAGAGGGAGTGCTGAAAGGGGCACAGGAAGGCAGGTGCTAGATATGTTTTCAGACCTCCTGAGAGTAATCAGGGTTCAGAGTCAAAATGCAATGGAGAGTTAAGCAACATTAGCAGCTACAGTTCTGAAGGCTAAGCTTCAGTGTGGGTGTTGAAGACAAGTGATCGGATCAGCTATGGGAACAGGAGCTCAGTAGACAGAACGTTTGGACTTTCATCTCTGGTCTTTGTTTATCTTATCTCTGTTACTTTCATCTCTGTGTCTGTGAACTTTATGTTGGATCATATCCCACTTTCTTATTTTAATTCCTGTTAAGCTCTATGCAGAGGGGAGATCACGATACCTTTTCCTTCTGTATGTTCTTAGTGCTTGGCCTTCTCCCTAGTAAGTAGTGGTGTGTATGTGTGGGGAGTGTCAATTAACAATCAAGACAAGACTGAACAGTTGGAATATATTTTTCTGATATGCATTTTTAAACTTATATGTATTCTTGGCAGTTTGTGGCTAGTTGGCTTAAAACCGTATGTTGTTCTTCTATGTTATTGATTTTGACTGAAGACTTTATAGTTCCTGGCTCCCATTATTCCAGAGGCAGAATCAACTGGACTCTGTGAGTTTGAGGCCAGACTGGTCTGCGTAGTGAGTTCCATGTTGGCTGGGACTTCACAGAGACTCTGTTTCTACAAAAAGGACAAAGTTTCTTGCTTTTTGTCAGGGGTGGGGTAATTCAGCAGTGATATTCTTTCAAAATACCCAGAAGCATTGAGATGAAGAGTATCTACTCTTGAGATGAAGGTAGTGTAGAAGGGGAATGAGAGTGAAGTATTAT